GGAGGCTGAGGCAGGAAAAACACTTAAACCCAGGAGGCGGAGGTTGCAATGAGCCTAGATCGTACCATTGTATTCCAACCTGGGCAACAAGAATGAAACTCCGTCTCAAAAAAAAATAATAATAATAATCCATCCTGGCCAACCTGGTGCAACCCCGTCTCTACTAAAAAAACAAAAATTAGCTGGGCATGGTGGTGTGCACCCGAAATCCCAACTACTCAGGAGGCTGGGGCGGGAGAATCGCTTAAACCCGGTAGGCGGAGGTTGCAGTGAGCCAAGATCGTGCCACTGTACTCTCCAGCCTGGAGACTGAGCGAGAGTGAGACTTCCTCTCAAAAAAAAAAAAAAAAAAAAAAAAAAAAATATTAAGGCAATGGCCACTGCTGCCTGACAGAGAACTTCATAACAACACCTGAATCCAGCGGTCTGCAGCACAGCACAGAAGCGAGCAGCATTTGCAGCCTGTGCACACAGACGTACCCACCAACAACCCAGGAAGTTTTCTTGCCATAAAAATTGAACCAGAATCTGATCAAGCTTCTAGACTGAGCTGCTCCTTTACAGAAGAGAAGGAGGACTATGTCCAGCAACATTACAGAATGCAAACAGCAAAGTCCACTCTGCAGGAAACTCAAATAGGATGTACAGCTGACTTACTTCAAAGCACAATTACAAGGGAAAAAAAGAAAATGGAAACCTATAAATCGAAAGACACTCAATATCACAATTAACTCAAACTACCTCAAAATGAATCACAGACCTAACTGTAAAATGCGAAACTTTAAAATCCTGAAAATACACAGGAGAAGATCTAGCTGACATTGGGTTTAGCGATTACTTCTGAAATAAAACACCAAAAGCATAATCCATGCTAGAAAAAAAAACAACTGGATTTCATCAAAGTTAAAAACTTCTGCTTTGCGAAAGGCACAATTAAATCAATGAAAAGAAAACCCAGTGAGTGAAAAAAATACTTGCAAAATACCTATCTGATAAAAAACTGGACTCCAGCCAGGCACGGTGGCTCACGCCTGTATTCAATCCCAGTCTTTGGAAGGCCGAGGTGGGGGGATCACGAGGTCAGGAGTTCGAGACCAGCCTGACCAACATGGTGAAACTCTGTCTCTACTAAAAATACAGAAATCAGCTGGGCATGGTGGTGCGCACCTGTATTCCCAGCTATTCGGGAGGCTGAGGCAGGAGGACTGCTTGAACCTGGGAGGTAGAGGTTGTATTGAGCCGAGATCTCACCTCTGCACTCCAGGCTGGGTGACACAGCGAGACTCCATTTCAAAAAAAAGAAAAAAAAAAATTGAACTTCAAAACAAATAGATTTTTTTTTTTTTTTTTTTTGAGACAAGAGCTTTGTTCTTGTCACTCAGGCTGGAGTGCAATGGTACAATCTTGGCTCACTGCAACCGCTGTCTGAGTACAAGTGGGAGCCACCACGCCTGGCCCCTTCTTCCTTTTTTAAGTAGGGAAAAAAATTTTTTTTTTTTTTTTGAGACAGAGTCTCACTCTGTCACCCAGGCTGGAATGCAGTGGCGCGATCTTGGCTCACTGCAACCTCCGCCTCCCAGGGTCAAGCAGTTCTCTTACTTCAGCCTCCTGAGTAGCTGGGATTACAGGCACACACCACCATGCCTGGCTAATTTTTATATTTTTAGTAGAGATGAGGTTTCACCATGTTGGCCATGCTGGTTTCGAACTCTGACCTTATGTGATCCACCTGCCTCGGCCTCCCAAAGTTTTGGGATTTATAGGCGTGAACTACCATGCTCAGCCACCATATATATTTTTTTCATTTTGAGACAGGGTCTGGCTCTGTCATCTGGGCTGGAGTATAGTGTTGCAATCGTAGTTCAGAACTGCAGCCTCAAACTCCTGGGCTCAAACAATCCTCCCGCCATAGCCTCCCCAGTGGCTGGGACTACAGGCACGTGCAACTGCACCAGGCTAAGTTTTTGAGGTTTTTTTCTTTCTTTTATTTATTTATTTTATTTTTGTAATTTTTGTATTTTTAGTAGAGACGGGTTTCGCCATGTTGGCCAGGCTGGTCTCAAACTCCCAACCTCAGGTGATCCACCCACCTCAGCTTCCCAAATGCTGGGATTACGGTGTGAGCCACCATGCCTGGTCCTTGTTAGACTACTGCTTCTACTTAAGTGTGGTTTGAAATTTTCCTTACCTAGGCTGGGTACCGTGGCTCTCACCTGTAATCACAGCACTTTGGGAGGCTGACGTGGGTGGATCACAAAATCAGGAGTTCGAGATCACCCTAGCCAGCATGGTGAAATCCTGTCTCCAGTAAAAATATAAAAATTAGCCAGGCATGGTGGTGTGTGCCTGTAATCCCAGCTACTCGGGAGGCTGAAGTAAGAGAACTGCTTGACCCTGGGAGGCGGAGGTTGCAGTGAGCCAAGATCGTGCCACTGCATTCCAGCCTGGGTGACAGAGTGAGACTGTCTCAAAAAAAAAAAAAAAATTTCCCTACTTAAAAAAGGAAGAAGGGGCCAGGTGTGGTGGCTCCCGCTTGTAATCCCAGCACTTTGGGAAGCGGAGGCAGGTGGATCACCTGAGGTTGGGAGTTCTAGACCAGCCTGACCAACATGGAGAAACCCCATCTCTACTAAAAATACAAAAAATCAGTCCGGGTGCAGTGGCTCACACCGGTAATCTGAGCACTTTGGGAGGCTGGGGCAGGCAGATCACGAGGTCAAGAGATCAAGGCCATCCTGACCAACATAGTGAAACCCCGTCTCTACTAAAAAATACAAAAATTAGCTGGCTGTGGTGGCTCGTGCCTGTAGTCCCAGCTACTCGGGAGGCTGAGGCAGAAGAATTGCTTGAATCCGGGAAGTGGAGGTTGCAGTGAGCTGGGATCGCACCACTGCACTCCAGCCTGGCACCTGGTGACAGAGCGAGACTCTGTCTCCAAAAAAAAAAAAAAAAAAAAAAAAAATCAGCCAAGTGTGGTGGCGGGCGCCTGTAATCCCAGCTACTCAGGAGGCGGAGGCAGGGGAATCCCTTGAACCCAGGAGGCGGCGGTTGCAGTGAGCTGAGATCGTGCCGCTGCACTCCAGCCTGGACAACAAGAGCAAAGCTCCACCTCAAAACAAAAGAAAGGAAGATCAAATAAAAACTACCTGTTTGAATGTCAACTCCTTTGTGGCCCTTGCAGTGAATATCTGCGCAACTCCCCAGCTGACACCTTTTTCCAGCAGCCTGGGAGCCGCAGAGGATAAACTGTGTCACTTCCCCCTTTGCTTAAGGCCAGAGCAGTGCCTGGCACTGCGAATGCTCTTGGCCAACATTTGTTCAATGAATGGGGATGTGGGGGCTTCCGGGGAGGAAACAGTGAACTCTGCCCTACAGAGCTGAGGGAGGGCTTCTCAGAGGAACTAATTAGTCCAGCCCTGACCTTGAAGAATAAGGAGGGCCGGTGCATATGCAGGGAGGGGAGGGTAGATCCGTGAGGGGAAGTGGCCGAGCAAATGCTCAGAGGGAGGACCCTGCTGTTGTGTAGACTCTGACGACTGAGTAGAGACAGGTGCTGCTGGGTGGGTCTGAGGACATGAAGCCAGGAAGGCCGAGCACAGTGCCTCACACCTGTCATCACAGCACTCTGGGAGGCCAAACTGGGAGAATTGTTTGAGACCAGGAGTTTGAGCCCAGCCTGGGCAGCACAGTGAGATGCCATCTGTACAAGAAATTTTAAAAATTTGGCCGGGCGCGGTGGCTCAAAACTTTGGGAGGCCGAGGCAGGTGGATCACGAGGTCAAGAGATCGAGACCATCCTGGTCAACATGGTGAAACCCCGTCTCTACTAAAAATACCAAAAAAAAAAAAAAAAAAAAATTTGCCACGTATGGCCAGACGCAGTGGCTCATGCCTGTAATCCCAGCACTTTGGGAGGCTGAGGCGGGTGTATCACTTGAAGTCAGCAGTCTTGAGACCAGCCTAGCTAACATGGTGAAACCCCGCCTCTACTAAAAATACAAAAAATTAGCTGGCCTTGGTGCTGGACGCCTATAATGCTAGCTACTCAGGAGGCTGAGACAGGAGAATTGTTTGAACCTGGGAGGCGGAGGTTGCAGTGAGCTGAGATTGCACCACTGCACTCCAGCCTGGGTGATAGGCAGGTATGGTGGTGTGCACCTGTAATCTCAGCTACTCAGGAGGGTCACTTGAGCCTAGGAGTTCCACACCACCCTGGGCAACATAGTGAGACACCGTGTCTAGAAAAAATAAAGTGAGCTGGTGTGCTGGTGCTGGGCTGTGTCCCAGCTACTTGGGAGGCTGAAGTGGGAAGATTGCTTGAGCCTGGGAGGTTCAGGCTGCAGTGAGACGAGACTGTGCCACCACACTCCAGCCTGGGGTGACAGAGTGAGAATCTGTCTCAAAAAAGAAAAAAGGCAAGGGCCAGGCGCAGTGGATCACCCCTATAATCCTTTGGGGTTTTAAAGAAATTTTAAAAATTTGGCCGGGCACGGTGGCTCAAGCCTGTAATCCCAGCACTTTGGGAGGCCGAGGCGGGTGGACCACAAAGTCAGAAGTTCGAGACTAGCCTGGCCAATATTGTGAAACCCCCGTCTCTACCAAAAATACAAAAATTAGCTGGGTGTGGTGGTGAGCACCTGGGGACTACAGGGAGGCTGAGGCAGGAGAATTCCTTGAACCTGGGAGACAGTGGTTGCAGTGAGCCAAGATCACACCACCACACTCCTGTGTGGGTGACTGAGTGAGGCTCCGTCACACACATACACACACACACACAAAGAGGCAAGGAAGCCAGGATTTTGTCCTGGGGGTCTCTGGGGAGCCATGTGAGGGCTGTGAGTGGGCGGGGGGCAGGGAGTTCTAGGTGCAGAAGGACCCCTGAGGAAGGGGGGGCAGAGCAAGGGCTTCAGTGGGAGGCCAACTGAGGGTCCGGGCAGGGGACCTGAGGCAGGGGTCGTGGCGGGGAGAGGATGGAAACAGCCGGGCTGCAGAGGGCTCACCCTTCCACTCGAGGTTTCCGCGGCCCCTCTCCAGGTGCTCCCGCAGCCGGTACGGGCAGGAGTGTAGCAGGAAGGTAAGCTCCTTGCTGGCCGCCTTGTCCTGCTGCTGCCACCGCTGACTGATGGCCAGGGCCTCAGGCCAGTCCCCACCCCAGGTGCCCTGCTTGAGGTCGAAACTCATGAACTCCTCGCCGTTCAGGGCGAACTTGGCGGTGGGCACCGAGGCGTTGTCAGGACCCAGTTCACAGCCCAGCAGCCCCTGCAGAGTGTAGGGACCTGGGGCCCCCACACGCTGGTAAGCGGGGCCTGGGAGCACGGCCCCAGCCTCTCGCCCCTCGAGACCCAGTAGTCTGAGTCTCACCTTTGCCATCCAAAGCTTTGAAAGCTTCCAGAAAGAGCTTCTCCTTCATCCTCAGATCTGTGGTTTCTTTCTCCCAATACCAGGACACCTGGTTTTCCCAGACCCACGCTCCACAGGGCTCCGCCTGGCCCCGAAGGCTGCTGTAGCTCAGGTATTGCTGCGGGCCCAGCCAGCCCGACACCCAGAAGGCGGGAGTCCCCGGGGCAGGCGAGGACACTGCGGTGAGGTGGTACAGGAGGGAGAGGTGGCTTTCTGCAGACAGAGACAGAGCTGAAGCGAGCACACGGGCGGGGAACTAGACTGCAGTGGGACAGAGACACTCAGGGAGGGAGAGGAATCTATTATGGAGGGAGGGGGACAGATTCCGAGAGAGGAACAGAGACCCAGAGAGAGAGAGGAACAGAGACCCAGAGAGAGAGAGGGACAGAGACCCAGAGAGAGAGGGGGACAGAGACCCGGGGGAGGACAGAGACCCAGAGAGAGAGGGGGGCAGAGACCCAGAGAGGGGGGGACAGAGATGCGGGGGGGGGGGGGGGCAGCCACCGGGGGGGGGGGACAGAGATCGGGGGGGGGACAGAGACCCAGAGACAGACGCGACAGGCGGTTCGCAGCCTCAGGCCGGGGAAGAGACCGAGAGAAAGGGAACGGAGCGACAGAGGCAGCGCCCGGCGCTCGGTGGGAACTCGGGTCCCGCGGGCCTCGCCCCGTCCCGCCCGGGGCCGCCTCCCGCCGCCCGCCCGCTGCACGGCCCCGGCCCTGAGCGGCCCTCACCTGCGCCCAGGCTCTCGGGCAGGAGGAAGAGCAGGAGCCCCAGCGCCCAGGGCTGCGGCCGCGGGACCCCCATGTTGAGAGGACGACCTGGGGCGGGAGGGGGCGCGTGACTCCTCCCGACCCCCGGCCCGCCCCTTCCTCCCGGGCTCCACGGGCAGGGCCGGACCGGGACGCCGACTAGGGGCTCTGCGGGCGCTGTCCAGACCGCCAGCAACGCCCGCCTCCCACCCGAAGACCTTTCACCCCTAAACTGGAGCTCCGCTGGTTAATTAATTACAGAAACTTGATAGGCTGAGTCCCGGCCCCGCCCCTTCCGCCGCCTTCAGGCCCCAGCCCCTCCTCCCTCAGACCCAGGAGTCCAGGCCCCAGCCCCTCCTCCCTCAGATCTAGGAATCCAGGCCCCCAGCCCCTCCTCCCTCAGACCCAGGAGTCCAGGCCCCAGCCCCTCCTCCCTCAGATCTAGGAATCCAGGCCCCCAGCCCCTCCTCCCTCAGATTCGGGAGTCCAGAACCCAGTCCTTCCTCCCTCAGATCTAGGAATCCAGGCCCCAGCCCCTCCTCCCTCAGACCCGGGAGTCCAAGACCAGTGCCTCCTCCCTCAGTCCCAGTGTCCAGACCCCCAGCCCCTCCTCCCTCAGACCCAGGAATCCAGGCCCCCAGCCCCTCCTCCCTCAGACCCAGGAGTCCAGACTCCAGTCCCTCCTCCCTCAGACCCAGTGTCCAGACCCCCAGCCCCTCCTCCCTCAGACCCAGGAATCCAGGCCCCCAGCCCCTCCTCCCTCAGACCCAGGAGTCCAGGCCCCCAGCCCCTCCTCCCTCAGACCCAGGAGTCCAGGCCCCAGTCCCTCCTCCCTCAGACCCAGTGTCCAGACCCCCAGCCCATCCTCCCTCAGTTGGGCCCTGTTCTGCTCACGTTCCCTTCAGCCTCGCTCCCTTCCTGCCTGCGGCCCTGGCTGGCTCCGGCTCCCCTCCCGTGACTGGAGACCCCAGTTCCTCTCTCACATCCTGTGGGAGGGGAGGCTGCTGCTCCCTGAGTCCAAGAAAATCCAGCCCCACCCCCCAGTTGCAGGGCACACCCCAGGCCCCAGGCCCAGCCTGTTTGTTTCTCAAAACGTTTGTGGTTCTTTTTTTCTCCTTCTCTATGGTTCCTGTTTTTTACTTGGAGGGTGCCCACCGCCCAGGGAATTCTTGACAGAGCTAGGAAAGGAACTGGACACTCCCGGAGTCCACAACTTCGAGGTCTCTGGATCCTCCTCCTGCCCCTTTGTATCTCCGTGGCCCTCCCCAGCGCCCGCTGTTCATCAGAACATTCTGGAAGCCTCCACAGTGCCTCCTTCAAGCCCTCCCCCCGCCGCATCCCCTTAAAAAGTTCCTGCAGGTGCTCTTTAACATCCTTCTGATAGGCCTTCAGTGGCCACATGGTCCCCATTCGCTGTGGCCCCCGCCCACACTCCTGCTACAAAGCTCCCCATGCACTTGTTTCATTGTGGTAAAATATTCAAAATATTTATCCTTACTGGCCGGGCGCAGTCACTCACGCCTGTAATCCTAGGACTTTGGGAGGCCGAGGCGGGCAGATCATGAGGTCAGGAGATCGAGACCATCCTGGCCAACATGGTGAAACCCCATCTCTACTAACAATACAAAAATTAGCCTGGTGTGGTGGCACATGCCTGTAATCTCAGCTACTTGGGAGGCTGAGGCAGGAGAATAGCTTGAACCCCGGAGGCGGAAATTGCAGTGAGTGGGATGGTGCCACTGCACTCCAGCGTGGTGACAGAGCGAAACTCCGTCTCAAAAAAAAAAAAAAAAAAATTACCTTTACCGTCATTTAACACATTTACAATGCTGTGTAACTGTCACCACTATCGAGTTCCAGAGCTTTTTTATCACTCCCAAACAGAGGGTCTGTTCCCGTTAAGCACCCTGCTCCCAGACGCCAGCCACCATTCATCTGCTTTCTGTCTCGATAGATTTGCCTATTCTGCACATTTCATAGAAATTGAATCATAACAAACATGAAGCCGGGCGCGGTGGCTCAAGCCTGTAATCCCAGAACTTTGGGAGGCCGAGGCGGGTGGATCACAAGGTCAAGAGATCGAGACCATCCTGGTCAACATGGTGAAACTCCATCTCTACTAAAAATACAAAAACATTAGCTGGGCATGGTGGCGCGTGCCTGTAATCCCAGCTACTCAGGAGGCTGAGGCAGGAGAACTGCCTGAACCCAGGAGGTGGAGGTTGCGGTGAGCCGAGATGGCGCCATTGCACTCCAGCCTGGGTAACAAGAGTGAAACTCCGTCTCAAAAAAAACAAAAAATAAAAAACAAAAACCATGAAGTCTTTTCTTTCTTTCTTTTTAATTTGAGATAGGGTTTGGCTGGATTGCAGTGGAACAATCATGGTTCACTGCAGCCTCAACCTCTCAGGTCAAGCACTCCACCTGCCTCAGCCTCTCAAAGTAGCTGCAATTACAGGCACCCGCCACCAGGCCCAGCTCATTTTTGCAGAGATAGCGCCTCGCTATGTTGCCCAGGCTGGCCTCAAACTGCGGGGCTCAAGGCAGCCTCCCACCTTGGCCTCTCAAAGTGCCGGGATGACCGTGTGAGCCACCACAGCTGGTCTTTTAGCTCTCTTGGGTATACACCGGGAGTGGGACTGCTGGGTCAGGTTCTCCAGAAAACAGAACCCACAGAATGTGTATATGCATACACAGAGAGAAATTCATTTTAGGAACTGGCCTCCAGGATTAGTGGACAATTAGCTGGTTCAGAGTCTGATGGGGGGGCCAGGCATGGTGGGGCATGCCTGTAATCCAGCACTTTGGGAGGCCAAGGTGGGAGGATTGCTTGAGTCCAGGAGTTTAAGACCAACCTGACCAACATAGGGAGACCCTGTCTCTAAAAAAAAAAAAAAAAAAAAAAAAAAAAGGCCGGGCATGGTGGCTCATGCCTGTAATTTCCCACACTTGGGGAGGGCGAGGCAGGCAGATCACCTGTGGTCAGGAGTTCGAAACCAATATGTCAAAACGCTGTCTCAACTAAAAATTAGCCTGGCACGATGGTGGGCACCTGTAATCGCAGCTACTCGGGAGGCTGAGGCAGGAGAATCATTTGAACCTGGGATGTGGAGGTTTCAGTGAGCCAAGATCGTGCCTTAATACCCCAGCCTGGGCAACAGACCGAGACTTCGTCTCAAAAACAACAAAAAACTTAACCATTAGGTAAATCTATAATGTGTGCTTTCCTTGTCATGAATGTCTTCACTTTTCTGATTCACCCTGTGTCCTACTAGAAGATCCACTGAGACCCACCCCGAGGCCCGCTCCTAAGAGACAGAAAGAACCTGCTTTAACTTCCCAAGAATCGTAATGACAGCATCTTCAGCTCTTCCCAAAAATGCCCTGAGGCACCTGCCCTGTCCTTAGCTGTCCCCTCTGGTTTCCTTGGGATCCTGTAAAATCTTCAGGACATTCTTCCAGCAGCCCCTGGGGCCCATTTTACGGTTCTTTGGACCCTGACGGAGTCCTCAATGGCCTGTTTCAGTGTCCCCCAGGAGCCTGCTCTACCTTTCCTGCAAGTTTGACTACCATCACTGTGGGGTCCTCCTCTATAACCAGCCTTAGCTCTCACGTCCCCAGGGCCCTGCTGTAACATTACCAGGACATTGAGAAAGCTCCTTTTTTTTTTTTTCCTTTTTTAAAAGTGGGGTTTGACTATGTTGGCCAGGCTGGTCTTGAACTCCTGACCTCGTGATCTGCCTGCCTTGGCGTTCCAAAGTGCCGGGATTACAGGCATGAGCCACTGTGCCTGGCCTTCGGAAAGCTCCTTGAACCACCTACGATACTCACAGGTTTTGTGTTCTTGCTGGAGGCTCCAGGGAAGAATCTGTGTTTTTGCCTTTCCTAGCTTCTAGAGGGCACCAGCATTCCTTGGCTCATGGCCCACTCCTCTATCTTCAAGGCCAGCAGCAGGGCATCCTCTCCCCTCTCTGACCTGGATGTCCATCCTCAAGTCTTCTCTCTCCGACAGGGACCGCCTGCCTCCCTCTCTGAAGGAGCCCTGTGATTATGCTTCGGGCCACTTGGCTGATCCAAGATCATCTCCCCATCTGAAGACCTTTCACCTAATCACATCACAAAGTCCCTTTTCCTATACAAGGCCACAGTCACAGGTTTTGGGGGATTAGGGCATGGACATCTTTGAGGCCATGATTCAGCCCGCCCTGGTCATCGGGGATATCTTTCCTTGCCCCATTCTGATCTCCTGTCCTTGCTGTTACAATGGCCTGGGGCTTTAGCCAGGAGGCCTCCCAGGGGTCTGCCTAGACATTCCTCATCACAGCCCTCCTTCCTAAAACTGAAGAAAAAGGCCTCAGTCAAAGTTGCAGTGAGCCATAATAGTGTTACTGCACCTCAGCCTGGACGACTGCACAATACCCTGAAGAAAAAGAAAAATGTGGGGCCGGGCGCGGTGGCTCACGCCTGTAATCCCAGCACTCTGGGAGGCCGAGGCGGGTGGATCACGAGGTCAAGAGATCGAGACCATCCTGGTCAACATGGTGAAATCCCATCTCTACTAAAAATACAAAAAATTAGCTGGGCATGGTGGCACGTGCCTGTAATCCCAGCTACTCAGGAGGCTGAGGCAGGAGAATTGCCTGAACCCAGGAGGCGGAGGTTGCGGTGAGCCGAGATCGTGCCATTGCACTCCAGCCTGGGTAACATGAGTGAAACTCCGTCTCAAAAAAAAAAAAAAAAAGAAAAAGAAAAAGAAAAATGTGGGCCGCACGCAGTGGCTCAACGCCTGTAATCCCAGCACTTTGGGAGGCTGAGGCGGGCGGAACATGAGGTCAGGAGTTTGAGACAAGTCTGGCCAACATAGAGAAACCCCGTCTGAACTAAAAATGCAAAAAATTGGCCGGGTGTGGTGACATGTGCCTGTAATCCCAGCTATTTGGGAGGCTGAGGCAGGAGAATCGCTTGAACCGGGAAGGCGGAGGTTGTGGTGAGCCAAGATCGTGCCATTGCACTCCAGCCTGGCAACAAGAGCGAATCTCCATCTCAAAAAAAAAAAGAAAAGAAAAGAAAAAGAAAAAGGCCTCAAGGGCCCTTAAGGCCCCCTGGGAATCCCTTCTAGATGCCCTAGGGTCCTTCGCAGTCTGTGGAGCCCATTTACAGCATCACCTGGTTGTCATGAATCAAATCCTCAGGGTCCTGCTCTAATGATCCCTGAGTACACCCTCTCTCTCCCTGGGATCCTGCTCTCATGTCCCCAGGGCTCTATTAGAACCCCCTTAGACTGTCACTTGGGCTCCCCCAGGACAGCTATAATGTCTTGAGGACCCTACTATAATGCAATGGAAAGCCTGTGGCATGGCCAGGCGAGGTGGCTCACGCCTGTAATCACTTTGGGAGGCCGAAGCAGGTGGATCACCTGAGGTCAGGAGTTTGAGACCAGCCTGGCTAACGGGGTGAGAACCCTGTTTTGTAAAAACACAAAAATTAGTTGGGTGTGGTGGTGAGTGCCTGTGATCCCAGCTACTCAGAAGGCTTAAGCAGGAAAAACGCTTGAACCCCAGAGGCAGAGGTTTCAGTCAGCCGAGATCGCACCACTGCACTCCAGCCTGAGTGACTCCATCTCAAAAAGAAAAAAAAGAAAGCCAGCCCGTGGGAGTACACACTCAGCATAAAGCAAAAATGTGGTCCCCTTGGTTCCAGTTTCAACATGGTTCAAGCAGAGCACTCACCAGGCGCTGGTCCATTCTGATCCACTCCTCGGACGGCATGAGGAGCTGGCCTTAAAGCCGGCCCTGGACCCTGTTTCTGTGCCGCAAGTGACCCAGGCAGCTTTGAGCTGTGCACCCTCAACTGCCCTAACCTCTGCCCATCCTCTCTGCTGCTACGCAATAGTGCCCTCTACTGATCTGGGGGGGCAATCACGCCTGAATTCAAAAGCAAAACCTGACTCTTCGAGGTCCACCTCTCCCAGCCAAAGGTTCTTTATTTGTAAAATGGGGATAATAATTGTGACTTTATTAGGGTGGTGCAAAAGTAATTGAGGTTTCTATCATTAGAACCGCAATCACAGGCCTGGTGCAGTGGCTCACACCTGTAATTGCAGCACTTTGTAGACCATACCTGTAATCCCAGCTGAGGCAGGTAGATCACGAGGTCAGGAGTTCAAGACCAGCCTGGCCAATATGGTGAAACCCCACTAAAAATACAAAAGTTAGGCCAGGTGCGGTGGCTCAAGCCTGTAATCCCAGCACTTTGGGAGGCCGAGACGGGTGGATCACGAGGTCAAGAGATCGAGACCATCCTGGTCAACATGGTGAAACCCCGTCTCTACTACAAATA